ATACATATATACATATATATCATACATACATACATACATATATATATATATATATTATATATATATATATATATACATATACATACATACATATACACACACACACACACACACACACACACACAACACACATATATATATAATATATTATATGTGTGTTGTGTGTGTGTGTGGTCTGTGTGTGTGTGTGTGTGTGTTGTGTGTGTACACACATACATATTGATAATAATACTGATAATGTTAATGATAATAATGATAACGATAGTGAAAAAAGGAGTACAATAATATTATTGATGACATTAATAATAACAAATTGTATTAAGAATAATGAAGATGATCACAACGATGATAATAACACCACATCCTCCAGCAGCAACAACAACAATAACAAGACTGATATCAAGTAAATAAAACAGCTTCCCCAGCCATCTCGAGAGCGCTCCCATGAGCCTCTCACGTCTCGGATTTCATGAGCTTGTTAATTACCCAAATCGAATTAAGGCTTGTTTGCTCACCGCGCCTCCTTGCTGGTGCTGACGTTGCTGCTGATGCGTGATGGTTGGTGCTACGTTGCTGCTGATGCTTGACGTGTTGGTGGTGCTGATGAATGTTGGTGATGTGAAGTTTTGCTGATGCTGAAGTTGTTGATGCTGACGTTGCTGCTGCTGGCGTCTGCTGGTGATGCTGACGTTGTTGTGTGATGCTGATGATTTGGTGATGCTGACGTTGTTGGTGATGCTGATGATGTTGGTGATGCTGATGATGTTGGGTGATGGCTGACGTTGATGCTAAAGTTGATGAAGCTGACTTGATGCTGTGAGCTGTTTGCTGAAGTTGCTGGTGCTAACGTTGTTTGATGCTGAAGTTGTTGTGATGCTGAATTTGGTTGCTGATGTTTGAAGATGTTGGTGATGCTGAGGTTGTTGGTGATGCTGAAGTTGTTGGTGATGCTGAAGATGTTGGTGATGCTGATAATGTTGGTGATGCTGACGTTGTTGATGCTGATGATGTTGGTGATGCTGAAGTTGTTGATGCTGACGTTGCTGCTGGTGCTGACGTTGATGCTGAAGTTGATGAAGCTGACTTGATGCTGAGCTGTTGCTGATGCTGAAGTGCTGGTGCTAACGTTGTTGATGCTAAGTTGTTGGTTGATGCTGAGGTTGTTGGTGATGCTGAAGTTGTTGTGATGCTGAAGTTGGTGATGCTGAAGTTGTTGATGCTGACGTTGCCTGCTGATGCTGACGTTGGTGATGCTGAGTTTGATGAAAGCTGACTTGATGATCCTGAAGTTGCTGCTGGTGCTGACGTTGTTGATGATGCTGATGGTGTTGATGCTGAAGTTGTTGATGCTGACGTTGCTGCTGCTGACTTTGCTGATGCTGATGATGTTGGTGATGTGAAGTTGCTGCTGGTGCTGACGTTGCTGCTGAAGTTGATGAAGCTGACTTGATGCTGGATTTGTTGCTGATGCTGAAGTTGCTGGTGCTGACGTTGTTGATGCTGAATTTCTTGCTGATGCTGAAGATGTTGGTGATGCTGAAGTTGTTGCTGATGCTGAAGTTATTAGTTAATCTGAAGTGTTGGTGACTGAGTTGTATATGTTGCCGCACTGAAGTTGTTGCTGATGCTGAAGACGTTATTACTAAGAATCCGTCGTCGAGGCTGACAGTTGACCGCCATCTCCCTTTGACTTCTCGGGGAATCCCCTGAAGTCTCGGCTGAAGGAGAATTCAGGACGGCCGTTTGGCCGAGTCGTGCGGGGGGGGGGGGGGGGGGGGGCGCCTGGGCAGGGAAGTCGTGGCGTCTTTTTTTTTTTCTTCTTTTTTTTCCTTTTTTTTTTTTTTTTTTTTTTTTTTTTTTTTTAGGTGGCGGTCTTTTTTTTTCTTTTTTTTTCTTTCTTTTTCAGGTGCGGTCTTTTTTCTTTCTTTCTTTTTTTTTCTTTCTTTTTTTAGGTGGCGTCTCTTTTTCTTTTTCCCTTTTCGATTTTTTTTTTTAGGTGGCGGTCTTGTTTTTTTTTTTTTCTATTTCTCTTTCTTCTTTTTTAGGTGGCGGTCGAGGCGGTCTTTTCTCCCCCCCCCCCTCTCTCTCTCTCTCTCTCTCTCTCTTAGGTGGGGTTGGGAAGGGGGATTTTTTTTTCTTTAGATTTTGGAAAGGCTATTTTTTTGGTATAGTCTAAACATGTATTTGCTTCATGATTAGCGTTATTAGCTATAGTTAATAACGTTAATTTCTCTTTTTCATCTATGTCTCTCGCAGTTTTGTCTCTCTCTCTCAGAATGAATCTCACTGGCGTCGTTAAAGATTTTGAATTCGCTAACCAATGAAGAAGGGTCGTTTAGGGTCGTTTAGGGTCGTTTTTAGCTAGGTCGTTTAGGGTCCGTTAGGTGGTCGTTTTAGGTGGGTCGTTTTAGCTAGGTCGTTTAGGTCGTTTAGGTGGGTCGTTTAGGATGGTCGTTTAGGGTCGTCGTTAGGTGGGTTCGTTTAGGCTAGGTCGTTTGGT